GTCAGCACTCCTTTTTTTTTTTGGCAGGGACACCGTTGCTACATCCTGGGCTTAGCTCCGCCCATTGGTTGTGATTGGTTTAGCAAAATACAAACAACCCAGAGCAGCTCTTCTTCCATATAGTTTAATGCTGATGAGGTGCAGCAGACCGTTCTGCAGCTCTGACACGTTTCCTGTTTGCTTCAAAAAAAAAAACAAACAAACTATAATCCGTCTTCAGAAGAAACAGAACAGAGACTGAGCTGCTCTCTGAAGTGAAGCTGAACACTGAAGTTGTCTGATGTCGTCATTCATCGCCTCAAACGTCGTCTCTCCAACCAAAACTCACAAAGTGGCTGAAAACTGAGCTGCAGACAAAATGTTTTCTTGTCTTGGAGGAGAAACAGCCAATAAATGATAAATCTTCTATTTAATCAGCTCTTCACTGAAAACACATGAAACACAACTGGGACAAAATAATTACAACAGTAGTTAAGAAAAACAACAACAACATTAAATAATAAAGTTTTAAAAGCTCCAGTAGACGGTTTATTTAAAGAGATCCAAAGAGCCTGAAACCAGCTCTGGATAAAGAAAGAACAAAGTTCTGTAGTTACAAGATTCAGATGTTTTTTTTTGTTCCTTCGAATCTGTTAAATGTAAACAAATGTTGTGTTTTTTGGTTAATTTGTGTTTTTTTTAATGTTTTTTTGTCAGTTTTTGTTCTATTTTCCTTTTTTTTGTTAATGTTTTTGTTTCTCTTTGTGGTAGCTCTGAGTGCCATTCGGTTGTTTTCTATCTTTTTGTGTCTTCGCAGTAGTTTTGTGTCTCTTTTGTTTATATTTTTTCTATCTTTTTGTGGTCATTTTGTGTGTTTTTGGTTGTCTTTCGTCTCTTTGTGGTCGTTTTTATTTAGATTTTTATTTTGTCTTTGCACTAGTTCTGTGTCTTTTGATCATCTTGTGTCAATTTTGATTTTGTGGATTTTTTTTGTGTCTCTTTTTTATTCATTTGTGGTCATTTTGTGGATTTTTAGTTGTCTTTTTTCGTCTCTCCATGGTTGTTTTGTTTTTCTTTAGATGTTTTTTTGTCTCTTTGCGGCAGTGTGTTTTTTTTTGGTTATTTTTTAAAACATTTTTGTTGTAATTTTGTGTATATTTGTTGTTGCTTTGTGTCTCTTTTGGGTCTTTTCTTTAATCCATTTGTCGTCATTTTTGTGTCTCGTGATAATCTTGTGTCTATTTTGATTTGTTTTTGTCTGTTTGTGGCTGTTTTGTGTCTCTTTTTTCATCCATTTGTGGTCATTTTGTGTGTTTTTTGTTCTCTTTTTGTCTTTTCGTGGTTGTTGTTTTTGTTTTTTGTTTTTTTTTACTTTTTTTGTCTCTTTGCAGCAGTTTTGTGTCTCTTGATCATCTTGTGTTTATTTTAATTTATTTTGTTTGTTTGTGGTTGTTTTGTCTATTATTTTTGTGCTCCTTCATTGTTTTCTGTCTGTTTATGGTTTTATATTGTGTTTCTTTCTCTGGCTTTCGTGGTTTAAATTGTGATGATGTTTGTGAAGAGTTAATTTGCAAAAACAGAAAACTCCATTTTTGTAGTTTTACAGAAAACGTATTGTTTCGTTGTTTGCTTGAGACAATATCAATCAAACTGAAGCTGACTCAGTAGAAATGACGAAAATAGAGATAACTTCAGTTTAAATGATGTTGTCTCAGGTAGACGATGGAGAAGTGGTTTTCTGAGGGTTTATGAAGATGCAGTTCTCTGTTTTTGTAAATGAACTCTTCATTTATGTCTCAGAGGTCGTTCCTCTCTCTGCATCACATTTCATTTTATCTTTTTTATGTGCATTTTTTAAAAACCTGGGCAACATA